GCTGCGCCTCCCCTCCCAGCAAGAAGTGATTTTGGGAGATGAGTGCCCTGAGCCAACCCAGTCTCACCAGTTCTCCCCATCCCAATCAGTGCACCCACCCGCCCGGGTTATTTATGGAATGTCCAGCAGACACTGAACCACACCTGAGCTGCTGTGGACAGCACACAGAGGTGTTGGGAGGCTCTAAACATTCAGGCAGAGCCACCAAAGCTGGTTGGAGAATGGGCTTTGGGAAGTGGCATCATCATAATAATAATTATCATAATCATTATTATTAATGTATGTATTTTTTAATTATTATTATTATTAGTAATTTATGGAATACCCAGCAGATACTGAACCAAACCTGAGCTGCAGTGGACAGGACAGAGGTCTTGGGAGGGTCTAAACATTCAGGCAGAGCCACCAAAGCTGGTTGGAGAATGGGCTTTGGGAAGTGGCATCATCATCATCATCATCATCATCATATCATCATCATCATCATCATCATCATCATCATCATCATCATCAATTTATATATTTTTAAATTATTACTATTATTAGTAATTTATGGAATGCCCAGCAGATACTGAACTACACCTGAGCTGCAGTGGACAGGACAGAGGTCTTGGGAGGCTCTAAACATTCAGGCAGAGCCACCAAAGCTGGTTGGAGAAAGAGCTTTGGGAAGTGGCATCATCATCATCATCATCATATCATCATCATCATATCATCATATCATCATCATCATATCATCATCATCATCATTATTATTAATTTATATATTTTAAATTATTACTATTATTATTATTATTTCTATAAACCTCACAGTATTCAGCCAAGGAATGCCCAGGCCCATCCCTGCTGTGTGTCCAGCAGCTCTCAGCTGTCAGTGGAATCAAACCCCTTTTCCTTGAGGTTTTTTCTTTAAAAAAAAAAATAAATTCATTTCAGAGTCACGCTCCATGGCACAAACTGTAAAAATACATTTTAAAATGTCCAAAACAGATAGGTCGGGACCTTGCTGCTAACAATCCTCCACCCCATCCTTGAAATCTAAAGCAGTGAAGGATTTTGCAGAAAATAATGGATCATTTTCCCATTTACCCATGATTCAAGGATTAATAACTAATCCCATCAAAGGACATCTGCTTAGATTGTTCCTTGTCAGTGAAAGTAAATAGAGCCTTTTAGTCTTTAGACCTAAACTCCTCTGAGGTTATTGTGCACGGGAACCTCCTACAAGCGGCCGCTTTCTCTGCCGCCCCTGCTGTGACTAACCCTGGAGGGAGAAAGCAAACTTTGCAAGTCCCTGCACATAAAGGTTATTTGCTAGAATGGAGGAGACTTTTATGAGGGGCCGGGTAAGCTGAGACCCTCACCCTCCCCTGAGGCTGGGCTGGGCCAGGGGCTGCACCCCTTCGAGCCGCTTTGTGCCGCCTCCCGGGCGCTTTCGGGGCGGGAGCGTGGGGGCTTTGCTCTCCCTACAGCTTCTCCCCTATTTTGTGATGCTTCAGCTCAGCTCTTCTGGGGTGCAATGGGAAAACGAGGACCTGCTCGGGTCCCAAATGCCCGAGGGTGGCAGGAAAATCTGGGAGGGGGGAACGGGCTGGGGCTGCACGGGGCTGGAGAGGAGCCCTGGGGGCAGCGGGAGGGGGACCCAGGGCTGGAGGGGAGAGGACTTGGAAACGATGAGCTGCTTGTCACACGACGGCCCGTCAGGGCAGGATTGGGGTTTTCACCAGTGGGGCTCCCGAAGCTGCTTTTGGGGCGATGGAGGCATTCCCAGAGGGGTTCTGGCCGGGAGCGGCCAAGCCAAAATGTGGGGAAATTGCCCCGAATGAGAGGAGCCCTGTCCGTTCTCCTGCCCAGCAGCTGCTCTCTGTAAATATTGATGTGGAAGAAAGGGGAGATCCCTGGGGGTCACCTGGGGCAAGGCCCAGCAGATCCCAGTCCCCTTCTCTCCTTCTGGCGTGGAAATAACCACGGGTGCCCGTGCCAGGCCGTTGGAGGGATGCATGTTGTAAGCATTTCAGAACATCTAAAATTAGACTTTGCGTTTTTTCCCTCTACCAGAACACGGCTGAGTGTCTCATCCACCAACACCAGCTGTGGATTTTTTTTTTTTTTTTTCTTCTGCTCTCGCTTTGGAAAAAGCTTCCTCAGAGATACAGACAAAAAAGAAATGCTGCTCCTCCCTCTCCCTGGCACACACAAAATATGAGAGTAATTACAAACTGGGGCTCTGGGCCTCAAACCCAGACCCTGCTCTGGGCTATTGAGGGAAATCTTTCAAAACCCAAATGGAGAGCAGCCCCATCAGCCTTTTGCCATGTAGGGAAGCTGGTCCTGCTGTGCTCAGCCCTCCCAGCCCTCTGGACCTGCAGCCCTGATGCTGCTGTGATCCAGCCCCGGCTCCCGGCTCCGGCGAAGGAACAATTGCAGGCAGAGCCAGTGGGAGTTCAAAAGGAGCAATGCTGAATTAAACGATAGCAATTTCCCTTATTTTCTGCCGCTTAAAGGTGCACGCTGGGAATGTTTAAATATCCTTGTTATCCCCTTCAATACCTAGGGAACATTTTTTTAACGAGCTGGGCTGTAATCAGGCCGTGTTCGTGCCAGGCATCCCTTAGAGCAGCCGTTCTCCAAAAGAGCTGTCCAGATCGAAGCCCTTTGAGGCAGAAGAAAAGGCACCTGCTGGAAGGAGGACGCCAGGCAGCTGAGCCGGGGTAGGTGCTGGGGAGACACTTCACCCAATTTTACCAAGACAGAACAGAGCTCCCTGCCTGTACAGAAAGAAGGAATTTTGGTATTCGGTTTAGGTTTGGGGTTTGTGGTGTTTTTGCCTGGTTTGGGGTTTTGTTTCACATTGGTTTGGAGGTGAGGATAACATCACATCTGAGGCCAAAATGATCTGATAAAAGTGAATTTCCTTGTTTTCAGGCTTCAGCCCCTTTCCCCCTGAAGCTGCTGGGTTACCTGGGTGCCTTTGACGGCATCGAGCTGCTGTTCAGCCTTTTGGGGTGAACCATTAAAATACCCTGAGCTACTAAACCCTCCACCTGAGGTAGGAAGCACTTGCTGGGCAGAGCCAGGAGGAAGCCACGAGGCTTTCCAGCCCTGAGGCAAGGAGAATTTGTCTGGCTGTGGGGTCCAGGATGGAGCAAAGCGCTCCCACAGCCGGGACAGAGGCTGTGGGTGCCCAGCCCGGCTGCTGCAGGAGCCCAGGACTGAGGCTGAGGACGGGCAGGAGCTGCCAGGACAGGGCTGGCACAGCCCGGGGATGCCTTTGGAGCTTCTCTGCCGCTGTCCTTCAGCCTGCACCCACTAGCTTCCACACGCAGCTTTTGTTGGCATTTTCTTTGTCTGGAGGACGCTGAGGCGGTGGCACCAGGCAGCAGCAGAAGTGCCCAGCGAAGGCAGGAAAATGCCATCGTGGAGTGGAGCTTGGCACCAAGACAAAGACATTTATTTAGAGACCACCCAGCTCCAGAGCCTTTCCCCTTGCCCCAAACCTGCCAGCCACTCATCTGCTCAGGTAGCTGTACCCCAGATTTTGGGGTGACTGGCGCTGCTGGGAGGATCCCAAACAAAATCCTGTATTTGGGAGTGCCAGGGCAGCGGCCACACCCACGTTTAGGGCCTGTTGTGTGGGCATGGCTTACAGAAAATAACCCACGGCTTGTCTAAAGCCACCCATCCGTGGGGACGTCTCGGTGCAAATTCTTCAAAAGCCAAAAATCCTCTTTGACCCAAACGTGGCATTTCTCACGGAGCTCGTGCATCTCCCACACCTCCGAGCTGGCAGGCAAAAAAAAAAGGGAATTTCCTTAAAAATCCCCAGCGGGGAAGCTGCAGCTGCTCCCCTCTGGGGCCCTGCACCCCACACCTCGGGGGGTGCTCCCCAGTGCCCAGCACCCCCCCTGAGGACAGGGAGCACCCTCTGCTCCTGCCCACGAGGAGAAGGGCATTTGCAGAGGGCATTTTGCCCAGGGGCATGGAGAGCATCTCCCTGCAGCTTCCCTTGGCGCAGGGGGGGATGGAGCTGGTGCCTGTGTGCAGCTGGGTGCAAAAACCCCACCGGGCTCCTGCCCCTCCCGTGTGCCACGCCGGGACACGCGGAGGTGCCCACAGGTAGGGCACGCACCAGGAGGGCACACCTGGCTAGGGCACGCCCAGCTTTAGGCGCAGCTTTCTGGCCGCTTTTGGGGGTGCTGCTGCTGAATTTGCGCCCCGGCTCCCGCTCTGCTGTGCGGGGCCTCTGCTTGAGTCTCATCCTGGCACGTCTTGGGCTGGGGCAGGGGTTGGGGCTGGGCACGGAGCCGCGCCCGGGGCACGGCGGTGCCCGCAAAGATCCCCCGGACAAACCGGGTGAGAGCTGTCCTCGCCTCTGCCCCGCACGCTGCAAACCCGGCCCTCCTGGGGGGGAATCGCGCCTTTGTTTGGGTTTCCTGGAGGGTTTTTTACATTTTTAATGGGTGCGGCTCCGCGCGGGGCGAGGGGCGGCGGCTCCTGCGCTGCGCGGGGCCGGGGGTGCCTCCCTCCGCCGGGACCCCCAAAATCGCCACTTCCCGAGGGGGAAATCCCCGTGGATCGTCGGAGAGTGGCCGCCCCCGCCGCCGCAGCCCGGGATTTGCCTTCCAGCAAAAACTCTCTTCAAAAAATAAGTTTAAAGCGCCCGTTCTGCGGCACTACCGCTCCTTTCCGTGCCCTGTGGCAGCGGCTGGCACTGGGAAAATAAACGTGAGATGAGATGGGCACAAAGCTCCTGAGCGGGAGGCTGCCTGCCTTCCACTGGTGGAGCCAGCAATGCAAGGAGAATTCCGAAAATAAAGGGATCCATTTCTCTACCGCTTTGCTCCAACCCCTCCTCTTTAAAGTTCACTATCAGGGAAAATAAAGAGGCGCTTTGAGACCCAAAAAATGACCGCGCGTCCCAGCGGAAGGAAGGCAAAGGTTCCCACTTTCTTTCATTGCTACTTTGGGATAAGGAGGAGAAAAATAATAATCCACTTTTACCTTTTTTTTTTTTTATTTTTATTTTTTTAAACATAATCTGGTGGGCGAAGCCGCCGTCCTCGCTGGAGGATGGGGAGGTGATGCCAGAGGGTCTCGGGTCGGTAGTGAGGATTTCTGCAGGGAAAACGGTTCCTCTCGCTGGGCGTCGGGAGCTGCGAATTTGCCAAGAGAGGGCGAACAGAAAGGGAATTCCAAATGTTTCAATTCCCTTTCCATCCAGCGTTGTCCACGTTTCCAAACTCAAGGGAGCTTTGCAGGAACGTCGGCTGAAATCCATAATAATTAATAAAATATAATAATAATAATAATAATAATAATAATAATAATAATAATAATAATAATAATAATAATAATAATAATAATAAATAATAATAATAATAATAATAAAACCGGGACGGACAGAAATGGTCGGAGTAACACGCGGCTCCTCTGCCCGCGGCCGCGCAGGATCTCCATCGGTTGTGGGCATTCACAGTAAACAAATGGATTTTTCAGATAGAATATTCATGGTAATAATTTAAAAAACAATTTAAAAATCCTGTTGAGTCGGGAATTAAAGAGGAACGGGGTAGAGGAATGCAGAGAGCAGCGACCCGGACGGGGCTGGGAAAAGCGGTTGACCAGCCGAGGTGGAAAGGAAACTGCAGAAAAAGGATTTTCCCAAATATTAAAAAAATAAATAAATAAAATCAATCTTCAAAACTAGAAAGAAAGAAGGGAGGAGGCACCCGCAATTCCGTTTCCAAGCCGGCTCCGGCGCTCGGGACGCTGCCGTGCCCCGGGGCCGGGCTGCTGCCACCCCCACCGCCCCATCCCTCGCGGAGGTTTTCTTCACTTATCAGTATTTTTATCCCTTAAACTAAACCACAAAACAGGGAACTGATTCCTGATTTTGAGTTCATTCTCGTTATTTCGGAGTTTGAACGGCGGGCAAAAGCGGAGAAAATGTTATTTATTAGGGGGAAAAATAAAATAATGCTGAGCAGGGAAGCAAATCGGAGCCCAACGTGGAACGGGCGTTATTTTTTAATACGCCGTGATGACAGTTCGTGGAAGGAGGGAAACAAAGTCGATTTCCAAAGCGAGGGAGAAACTTTGGGGGATGCCACCGGCGAAAACGCTCCGCTGCCCGCCGCGAGCGGCAAAATCCGCTCCTTGCGCTGCTGCTGCCGCGACCCCCCAGCTGTAATCAACACTCGGGAAATGCCAGGGAGACTTTGCCCCTAATCTGCGTTTATTAAACAAAAAAAAAAGCCCTGCCATGCTTATCACATCGCAGGTAACAAGGAAACTCGGGATCGAGTGCGTGTGCCGGGGATGTCCGCTTTGTGGTGGGAGGTTTGACATGAATAAAATGCAAGGAGTCCGCATTTGCCTCTGAAACACTCCCTGGGGCCGGGGCTGGAGCGGTCCCAGCCCGGCAGCGGCCCCTCCGCGGGTGCCCCAATTCCCGGGATGCGGGAATTTTTGGGAGCGGGTCCTGGGCGGGCGGAGGAACCCCTCCCTCCCCTCGGGCCGGGCCGTTTATGGCAAAAAGGGAGAAAAAATTTATTGCAATTAAGGAGCACATTCGGAGCAGGCGCACGGGCCGCAGCCGCACGTGTCTGCGCCCCCGAGCGCTTCGTGCCCCCGCGGCTCGGCCGCTTTCCCTCCAAACCACCCTAATACCCTCAAATAACCCGGTTTTCCCCCGTTGCTCCCGTTCCCCCGCACGCCTCACCCCGGTTCCCACCCCCAAAGGCTGCTGCGGTTCTCTCTCCCCGCGCCTCCGTGGCTGCGGAGAGAGAGGTTGCCATATTTGCATATATGGTAATGAGCTCCTAATTGCCAGGCTCGCCGCGCTTTGCTGATCGATTTCGAGCGCTCCAGAGGTTAAGGAAGCTTGGCAATAGCGCGGCTCGCAGCTCCCCCCGAGCCCCGGAGCGCCCCGGCAGCCCCCCCGCCCATGGAGCTGGCCCCGCATTTGCATCCCAACTTTTTTTAACTCTCCCACGTACACTTTACGTATCGGCTACGTGGAGGCTCCGCGGCCGCTCCTATATATCCTTACGCCGGGCACGGCCCCCGCTCCTCCGGCGGCTCCGGGCTCGGGGCCACCGCCGAGAGCCGCGGGCGGCGGGGCCGGGGCGAGCCGGGCAGGTGAGGGCAGGGCAGGGCAGGGCAGAGAGGGCAGGGGAGCGAGGGCACAGAGCCGTGCCAGGCTGGCATGCAGGGCAGCGAAGGCAGGGCAGCGGTCCGGGCTGGCGAGCAGCGAGGGAGGCCAGCGCAGGCGGGACCCACCGGCCGCCGGGCGCATCCCCGGCCGCCCCCAGGTGGGTGAAGAAGCCGGGGTAACCCCGGCGAAAGAAGCGAGCCCCGGGGTGCCGAGCATCGCCCGCCCACCCCCGCCCCGCGCTGGCGGCCGGGCCGGGGCGCGGAGCCCCCGCGGAGCCCCCGCAGCTCCCGCGCCCCGCGCAGCCGGACAAACAATGTGAGACTTGGCGGAACAAAAGCGGCGGGGCTTGGGTTGCTGAACACGTCTGAGGCCAGACGAGCCGCGCGATTTATTGGACTCGGTGAGAAAACCATAATAAAAAAAAAAAA